ATAATATTGGTATTCAAGCAATGGTAAGCTATCAGTCGAACCTATGGCATATACATACAATGAACAAATACAGAGAAAACGGAATTATTTAATAATTCATAATATGATCCTTTTTATAATTCTTTATTAACGAATTTATTTATTAACGAATATATGAAATTGTTAAAAATTTTATTAGTTTTTATAATAAATCAGAAACTATAGTATAATAATAAAGAAATTAATAGAAAACGAAAACATACCATATCACCTGGTTTAAGTATGTTACTATCTAATAAGCGTTCCGCTATTAAGTTGGCCGAGCTGTTTGACGGTGTTGCTACAAGAAGTCTGCTTTCGGGAATTACGGTTAAAATTTGTAAGATTGTCTCGCATATAGTTACTGTCTTTCCTGTTCCAGGCGGGCCAAATATAATATAGGGTAGTGGACGTGCTAATCCCAATAATATGTTTTTCACAGCTTCCTTTTGATAATAATTCAATTTTTTATTGAACCAATTTAATTTTCGTTTCTTTATTTGAATAATATATGATTTTAGTTCATCATTAGTTTGAATGATTGATCCATTTGGCATTGAAATTGTCCTTGAAATTGTGGTATCAGCAATATTAATTTTATCATCATTGGCACTTGTCAAATTCATTTCAAAATTCGGATTCATTTTCGTTTCAGTAGATGACATTGGTTTTTTAAATACTGATTCAACTGATTTAACACTGAAAAGTCTATCCGCTACTGACATTCTTGGAAATCTTTTAACAGTATTATTAGAGGTATCACTGACAGAAGTGGTAGAGAAACTGGAATTGTTAGAAGAAATAGATTCATTGTGAAGTTGCATATCAATGGATTTTTCTTCGTTTTCACATTCTTCTAAATAAAATTGTGGTTCTTTTTGCACTACTCGGGTAGGAAATAGAATATCAGGTCCAAGACGGTTGAGAGCTAAATTAATAGCAACGTGACAACGTTGCAAAGAAGCATTCGACATTATAAATGACACTTGACAATCTTCGCCATTGTATTCATGATGAAACTTTTGGTTAAATTTCAAAAAGAGCTCAGTACTTTTTATTTTGTGAATGAAGCCTTCGTATTTTAGGTTTTCTATTACAAAACAAATTAGAAATATATATATA